CATTCTCCCTGTGAACTACGAAAATAACATAAGAATCATTTCAGTGAAATAACTTTGAATATATTGGAAAATAGGATTTCTATAGCTAATTAAATTATGTAATTTCAGAAAAGTTAGTTGTCTTTTTTAGTTTAGCATCAGACTATGAATACTCAGACTCAAAATCCTAACTGGATCAAGTATTGCAGGACTTCACAATGACGATTAAGTTTTGAAGGTCAAAGGTACATCTGACTACTTTGCAAATTCATGTTATAATTTATAATTTAATAACTGCATGGTGGTCACTGCACTGTTTAAATGTTCTGCTGGAGGCTACAAAATGTGCAGCTTATTGACAATTTACCAATTATCTCCTTAGTTCAGAACTCTGCAATTATACTGTGAACAGCTTTAGACTACTTCATTGGGATATAATAGATAGAGCAAAGAACATAAATCTATAATAAAAGGAATAATGAGATTAGAATCCATTAAAAATCGATCATTTGAAATAACTTATTTGTTTGCTTCAAGTAAACTCTTAAAAATCTTCATAAAATATCGTCTTCTTCTTCCCTTGAGGGATAAATTATACTTGTAAGTTACCTACAGAGATAAATACTTCGTTGTATTTTTAAAGGTCTCTTGCAAAGGTATGTTTTTCAAGTAATTGCTTCTACAACATAGAACTTTCCTCCCCATTTTAATAAAGACATGGGAAATATGGTTAGAACGAAAGTATGCTCTTCCAAAGCTGGCCAAGAAATGGGGCTTTTTCTTCATATTTTAAAGGTCTTTCTTTAAAAGGTCTTTCTTCATATTTTAAAGGTCTTTTGTAGCTTTTGCTGGTAGCTTTGTAATGGTGCCTGGAATGAGAATAGAGATCGCAAGAAATAAAGAGGAAAATATGAAATGTTTCTCACTGTGAATATATATAGGAACAGCTCTACTGATGTCACCTCTGCAGAAGAAGAAAAAAAACACCACAGTATGTTCTACCTCGTTTCACAGTAATAAAATTAAAAATTGTTCTCATAAAATTCCAGTGTAGTTTAACCTAATTTGTTGCAATGCATCTTCAGTTTCAAAAGTGTTTTCCTTTTATAAAACGACAAAAAAAAAAAAAGTCTAAAACACAAAATTAGAGATGCTGACTAGATTGTGGCTCCCAATAGAAACAGAAATGGAGAAAACAGAAAGGGAAGTGCAGAAATATCTTCAGGCCAGTTCTTGAAATGTTTCAGAATATTTCTATTAATACATCAACTGAAGGTATTAATGTCCCATTTTGTGTGTCTATTAAATCTCATGAGTTCAAGGGAAATGCAATATGTTTTTTGCATCATTAGATGGTTTTCATGACCGAGTAAAGAAAACATAGTGTTTTTCAAATTTTGAGAAAATTAGAACTGAATATATTGTGATTAATGTGTGGAAAGTAACAACTGACTATTTCTAAATTGTTAGCTGAAAGCTAAATGTGAAACGATTAATTGCTTTGCCAATGATTGATCCATCTCTTTCACACTGAAGATTCTTAAAATAATAATAACAATAATAATTAAAAACAAACTCCAAACAAAAACCTGTATAAACAAGAGCAAGGTAGAGCACCGTTTTTCTCCATATATGTTGAATATAATTTAGTGGCATGTTGCACAGACATATATAATTTTTGTATATACTTGGTATTTTTTAAAAGATTTAAATTTTGCAGTCTTTTTATTTTTCTTTGTTTAATTTCTATTGTGGGAGAAATGGAGAAATCATCCTTTGGAAGAAGAAAGAGATGTGAGGAGAAAGACTGGTTAAATAATTTGATTTAAAATAATTTAATGCTATTTAAAACTACTGCACTACTGTAAAAGATTAGTTGAAGCCAGAAAAACATACTGCTGTGTTCTCAGACACTCTTTTAATTTAGAAATTTCACCAAAACTTAGGCATCTTAAAAAAGAAATTTGCAGGGATTTTCAAAAAAGATGATACATTTATCTTCCTGAATTGACTGCTTTAGTTCTGGTGATATATCACATAAATCAAACAGGTAATATATTACAGATTTGGGACTTCTGTTTTCTGTACTTGCATATTAAAAGGTTTCCTGTATTTAATTTGCTTTAACAATTTCTTTATTTTTCCAGTGCTTTTTATTTGATGACTTTTTGCCTATTCATTGCTCTTTGAAAAATACAAGGGTTATTGTTTTTTATGTTATTTTTAAAGATAACTTATTGCTTTAGTGTAGGCGACTGTCAAACACTTAGGGCAGGATGCTGAACTCCATCAAGAGTCTCAAAGGAAGGAAAAAGCCTTACTGATACATACATCCATTAAGCAGCCATGCTTGCCAAGTCCGTGTACATTAGCTACTTCTGAAACTTTAACAAATTTCATCTGAGCTTTCATTCTGCTGACCTAATTTAACAAGAAAGAAATTCAATAACAGCCCCTAATATTGAAGCATTATTTCCCAAGAGGAATTTAACAACACTTCTACATCAAATAATAATGTGTGAATAGTGGATTATATATAGGGATGGCAATAAGAAGAGGAAAAAAGAAAAAAAAGAAAAAAAGAAAAAAAGAAAAAACATCTCAAAAGGGAACTACTATATCTCCTTTTCAAAAAAAAAAAACAAACGAACAAACAAACCAAACCAAACCAAATGAAGAAAAAAACAAACAAAACAAAGCAAACAAACAAAAATAAAACCACAAAAAACACAAAATAGCTTTCCTATTTTTACAGAAACTAATAACATCCTGAAAAGCTCATTTCAAGTTTGAAATTCTTGTGGTCTTTGAGAAAAAAGTGTTTATAAGTTTCTGAGAATAAATCATAGTTTCTTGCTCATTATACCTTTATTTCAAAAGAATGTAAATATGAGTTGTGATAAATAATTTCCAAGGTGAAGGACCACAAATTCAGTTTGTATGTGCTAATGGCTTTAAACTGGAAGAGGGAAGATTTAGACCAGATATCAGAAATAAATTATTTACTTTGAGCGTGGTGAGACACTGGAACAACTTGCCCAGAGAGGTTGTGGATGCCAGGCTGGATGGGGTTTTGAGCAACCTGGTCTGGTGGAAGGTGTCCTTGCCTATAGCAGGGGTTTGGAACTAGATGATTTTAAAGGTTCCTTCTAACCCAAATCATTCAATGATTTTATGATTCTGTGATTATGATGCAATTTGACGTGTTATTAGTGGCGTACTTTAGACTCCTTGTTTTGAATAATGTTCAAATTCAAAAATAAAGTAAAATTTTTCAAAGTATTATGAGAAAAGAAGAGGTAAATGATAGGATACATAATCTGTTGTTTATTTAGACAAAAATGATTGCTTGATAGTTACTGGGGACAACCTTGGGGCTGAAGTCCTTGAAAATGGTGGCTGTGACAAGTTACAGAGTCTTCTTGGCGGAGAGGTGAAAATGTTCTCCACAGATAACGTAACTCTTAAGATAAAAGATGCTTCCTTAACTGAATTTGTTCAGTCATTAGTTCACTACACAAGCACACATTCTTTTATCTATTAGAAACCATTACCTTTTATAAGCTTTTCACATGTTGCTGTAATGTTTGCTTTAATAAAATCATCACTTACTGGAAATATATTGCATACCACATTAGCATCAAAACCAAACACCAAAAAAATGTCTGTAATTTTTACACTGTTTCAATTTGAAAAATAAAATGTTTAAGGTGATAACTGGCTAGAGTATAGTGCTATTAAAATGAGAGAATACATGGGACGGCTGTGCAATATTACTGATCTATCAAAAATCAGAAAAGAGGACTAAAAAAAACCCAGGGTTTTTACCAGTTGACTTTTGCTGCCAAAATTGGAGGAGTATACAGGGTACCATAAATCCAGTCCATAAGTTTGATTTTCTGTGGATGTGTTAAAAAAAATATATGATTAAAAGCTTATTAAAATTTTCAGAAAATATATCCTATTAAGAAGCCAAGCCATAATTTTTATGAGGTCCTGAAGGAGGTAATCATCAAATGATCTCACTAGCAGTAAGTACTATTCTTTAAATGCCAGTATTGAAGTGAAGAGAAGCTGATGAAACTTGTCTTGCTAAAATGATATATCATGGCACTGTTAGAAGAAGGAAAACCTTAAGCACAACAAAGAAGAAAAAGTGGAGACAAAGCAAAGATGATTTAGGAGATTGTCTTTCCTCTGCTATAACACTTCCCTGGATAAGATTTATTTCACTATTTTGCAAAATTAAAATTATTCAGGAGACTTCCAGAACAGGCCTTATTTTTTGAAATATTTTCTACATTTTAAGGGGAAATTTGCACCTCTCTATGTATTTTAAGATCACCTCAAGAACTTGTAATACTTAAAAGCTTGCTTCTTGTCATGTTGTATTATTTCTGATGCATATGATGTTCTCTTTTGCAATTTAAAACACCCTGGAGAACTGGAGTTTTACCTTTTCCTCATTTTTGAAGCTACTTTTTGTTAGCTTTTCCGTCCTCTTGATAGCAAGATTAATAAAACACCAGAATTCTTGTAAATCATATCAGGTGGAAAACATCTGAAGTAAAGGCTGCAGTATTTAAAGTGTATGTTCCAATAGTAATAATACTCCAGTCTATTAAAAAAAAATATTCTTAAAGGTATTTAAATTGTGAGGTTTTAATGGGGAAATTTATCATTTGAATACACGCTTGTTCTTTCTCAGGAAGAAGTGTGTTTGCAATGTTCCCCTCTTGCAAGACAGCCATTAGCTTCCTAACCAGCTTTCCATGGCACAGTTGTTTTTTTTTTTATCTGCAGGGTAGCATGGGATATTGGACACTAGTGAGTAAATATATTCCAACTTACATTTTTCTCCTCTGCTTTCAGGATCTGGTTATTATGTGCAGTCCAGAGATGAGCTGCTGTAAATGACTTGGCTACATCAGGAATTAGAAACATAGAAAGCAAATCAGGAAAAACAAAGCTGTAGACTCCCCATTGCTGACCAGCTCAAACAATATCACAAGTGGACAATTATGACAATACAGCAAGTTCTGTTACTTCTACTGCTCTGGATGTGGCTGCTGCATCCCTGCCGCACAGAAATGCTGTTCAGAAGGACTCCTGATCTCAGACCTAAAGGCTCTGTGGGACGCGCATCAGGGAGTGACGGAAAAGCACTTCACCGCCAGAAGCGAGGCTGGATGTGGAATCAGTTTTTCCTTTTAGAGGAATACACAGGATCTGACTATCAGTATGTAGGCAAGGTAGGTTTCTCACTAATATTTCTGCATTATTGTCAATTTTCCTCACTGTCCTGGTTTCATCACCAATTTCAACTCAGCTGAAACCAGGACACTCATGTTTCTACAGAGCTCTATTTTCTATGTTTTACACTCATGCTTAAGAAGCAGATTTCTAGGTAATATATATATTACCATTGATTGTACTGTCAGACTTGCTAAAAGTAATATAGCAATATTCAGAAATATTTCAATGAACCAAATGAAGACATATTTTACTAGCTGGTATTCCTTAGCATATCACTCCTATCAGCAGCCCACTCAGTTTCTCTTCTTTATTAATCTTTTGCAATTAATTATAAAACCATTTTTCAAATATTTATCTGAATACTTCATCTTTCGTACAAAATAACACATCTGTTTTCTGTGCATATGCTTGAAGAATGCAACCTATTTTAAAAATATATATCTGTCTTTAGTTCTCCTTGTGATAAATTGCACTGAGTAATGTCCATTAAAAATATGTGAAAGGAATGAGGTGGCTAAGAATTGAAGTACAGCAGAAGTCTGATGAAATTCTTGTACAGCTTGTTTTGCCATGTAATTTATCAAAAAATAAGTAAGATGTAATGCCAAATAATATTCCAACAGGTACAAGAAAGTAATGAATTAATTCAGAATGGCAATTTGCTTGAAAATGGAAGTTAGTAGAAGTCATGGTTACTAGTTAGCAACATTGGCAGATGATAAAAACAGAATTTTCTTTATCTATAATCCAGATTTTGATATCAACATGGTATTTCACTTGTAAAATACTGAAGAGAAATGTTGCCTTATTGAAAATGGCAGAATCACAGAATAGCCAAGATTGTAATAGAGCTTTGGAGGTCATCTAGTCCAACTCTCCTACTCAAAGCAAGGCTTTGCTCTGGGTTGTGTCCACTCAGCTTTTAAATATCTGTAAAGATAGAGACTCCACAATCCCTCTAGACAACCACTTCAAGTGTGTTACCACACACAAGGTAAAAAAGCTTTTTTTACTTGTAAAGAGAATTTCCTGTATATCAGTTTGTGTCCATTGCCTCTTTTCTGAACACTGGGCACCAATGAAAAATGTCTGTCTCTTCATCCTCACTTCCTCTCATCAGGTAAAAAAAGGTCCCTGCTTAGCCTCCACCTCTCCAGGGTGAACAGTCTAAATTCTCTGAGCCACTCCTCACATAAAAGATGCTCCAGGCTATTAATCATCAAAGTGGCCCTTCACTGGGCTCTCTTCAGCAGCTTCATTTCTCATCTACTAGAGAACTAAACCTGACACTGCAGATGTGTCTCACTGGTGGTGAATAGATGGGAAGGATTACTTCAGACAACCTACTGGCAACACGTTTCTTCATGCAAGCCAGGATGCTGTTTTTTCGCAGACTGTTAAAATCCTTCTGAATGGTAGCAGATCCATCTGGTTTATCAATCACTCATTGTATTTTGTCAACTGTGAACTTGCTGAGGGTGCACTCTGACGCATAAATTAGGTTGTATAGTCAATACATCTCTGGGTTTCTTTTTATCTGATATTCTCCAAACCCGAAGTGATTTGGATAGATGGGTTGCATAAAATGCCACCTTTCTATTTATTATTTTGCAATATGATGGTATTTGGAAATTATGGGAGCACAATTTAGCAATAAATTATTTGTGACCAGTGACTAGAAGGTCCCTAGAAGAGAACGTTTATCATTAACAGGTCTTAGTAAAAAATAAGTACTAAATATTTTAAAATAAACTACCATTTTAAAAAAAATTGAGAATAGCAGTTAGATGGCAAATGCATCAGTGAAAGGATTAGCATGAATTGCAAAGTGAGATTACCAGATTCATCTGGATTTGTGAATTTTCATCTGCTTGCTTTCTGAGCTCATAAATGCTATATATATATTTTAAATTTCTCATACTGTATCAATGTATCTGTCAAGGGAGATTGAAAACTGTTGAATATCTCATTACTCTTGAAACCACTGGCTAAAATTCAGAATAGAATTTGTGTATTCATTTATTTACTTGTTAAGTCAGCATGAAAAGGCTTACCCAGAGTAATGTTATGGAAATGGGGTTCTCTGAATGAATGGGATGCCTAATCCAGTAACTGTGGAAGAGTCTTTTAACTCCTCCTTGCCTGTGAAACAGTAACATAGTCTAAACAGGAAGGTCAGCAGAACTGACTGGTTCAGAACATTCACTGCTTGCTTCAGGTCAGTATTTATTATTTCAGGAAATGAAGATGGTGTGATAGTTTAATGTTAGCTGGCTGCCCTATGTAGACCAAGACTTTCTCTCATTCCCCCTGCTCATCAGAAAGGAAGAAAATATGGTGAAAAAGCTCTTGTGTCAAGGTAAAGACAGGTACATCAATTACTGCTGTTGCAGACCAAACTTAAGGAAGAGTAATTTAATTTAATTTATTGCCGATTATTAACAGACTGGGGCAGTAAAAACTAAAATCAAACAAAAAACTTCGCGTACTGCTCCCCACAGCTCCCATTGGGCTGCAGCTCTGGCCAGGGATGCTCCTGCAAGGATATCCATGGGCTGTGCCTCCTTCAGGCCTCATCCACTGTTGCCCCACAGGCTCTTCCTTGGCTGCACAGGGAGATCTGCTCCACACAGCCTGTGGGCTGTGAGGGAACAGCTTGCTCCTCCATGGGCCTGCCCTGGGCTGCAGAGAGCTGCTGTTCTGCGTCTCTTGCTCTCTTATGCTGACCTGGGTGCCTGCAGGGCTGTTTCTCACTCTTGTTTTGCACAGCTGCTGAGAAGCATTTTTACATTTTCTTAATTGTTATATAAGTTATATGAGTTCACTAGAAGTAGTTCCTATTTGAAATGGGGGCAGTCGTCACTCTTCACAGAGGTCACCCCTGCAGCACTCCTTGCTAGCAAATTTTGAAGTGTAAAACAAATACTGATAGTCTTCACATAGTACGTAGCATCTCGGGGAAAAATCAAAACTATTGAATAATATTATGTAAATTTTATGTATGTAGAACCTTAAATAATAGTTACAATGATAGGTTATAGTAAAGGTAGAAGCCATAAAAGATTAGTGTGGGAAAGGAGACCATATATTTATTTCACAATTTACTGATCTATACTAGAAGACAACAATTCTGAGAAAGGACACTTTTAAAATTCCAGAGAAGCAACATGGGAATGTTCAAAATAAACCTTAAGCCTCATATCAGAAAAGCCATTTTACTGGGATTTGGATTTGGAGTTATGATTAATACCACCTTTCTATTATTATTTTTTTTTTTCTGTGCAGGAAGTCTACGTATGCTGTATTATTCTTTCTTAATATATTGAAAGCTTATTCACAGTTCTTATTTCTTTTTGTTAGTATATAGTTTCAAGGCCCATATATTATTTTTTCAAAGTGGTGCTGTTACAAGGAATTACTCATTTTTAAATTTGTTCCGAAAAAGAGCATATGTTTTTAGTTTGTTTAACTAGAGAAAATTATTTAACATTTTGCCTTTAAATGCTGACAGTTGTTCTCTTAATGAAACACCACTGTGTAATAACAATGTCTTAATCCACTATTATTCACAAATAAATTAATCCACATTTAAGTATATTTTTCTTTTTTACTATTTATTTTGATCTACCCTTCTGTTTCAGTCCAGCAGATATTTCCACCTGTGCTTGATGAGATAGATAACATTATTTTCCAGCAATTTTCATCATGGTAGTTTTAGTGTATAGAGGATCAACCAGAATGAATATTTCAGCTCTTTGAGACATTTAAGTTCTTAGATACACTGCAGTGTTTTTTAGTGTTTTTCAAAAAGCAGTTGTATTTTTGATTCCTGGATGAATTTTTAAATGACTTTCATTGCCACAGAGACTGAAAAGTATTATTTTGAATTGAATATGCATAATATTTGGTGTGAAGATCAAGTGTAGGGAATCAACTTTATGGCACCAAAGTTCTTAAAAGGATAAATTTTCAGCTAGAGCAGATTCTTGTGACAGAGATTAATAAAGAACAGAAAGGAGGAAAGATATTCTGCTCAATGAATAAATGAATTGTGATCATGTATATTTGGAATTCTACTGCCAGAGTAAAATAAGACAGTTTATTCTTTGTAAGTCTTGATGTGGGACTTGAACTGTAACTCTACTGGATGCAAAATGCAGGTTGTACTTACAGAACCTGATTTCATGGAAGATAGTGCATTGTGGTGGAACTGACCCTTGAGGGACATCAACATTGAGAAAGCTTTTTGCTTCTCAGCAAGACTAAACACGTAGGCTGTGAAGATTGTTTAATGTACCAAGTTATGGCAGGAATATGAAAGCTTGCTTTGGGGGGTACAGGTTCGGGTTTCTACACAGACTGACAAGTGATGTATTAGAGGAGATAGAACTTGGGTCTGAAGGAAAGAGAGTAAGAGCAGGGGAAGATATATACAAGAATAGAAAAATGAAAACACAAAGTCTTACTCAAATGTAAAGGTAGGCTAACTAATTGTTCATTCAAGCACTAGTTTATCAGAGACTCTCTAGTCTGAGAGAACTGAAAGGCAGGTATTCTGTATTTTTATTACTGTATGTACTAAGAAAAGGGAAGAAAATCGCTCAAAGAATGACAGTGCCTGTGTGGGTGCTGCTAGGGATAAACTGTTCTCTAAACTGTTGTCTACACCTTCTTTACCATTTGATATGGTTAAAAGAGGGGAAGCACCATGGTTTGTATCTGCATCAAATCTTCATTGGCAATGAAGCCTGTGACAGTTGTCAATTCTAGGCCCGCATCATGTGCACATAGATCACAGGATCATAGAGTGGCCTGGGTTGAAAAGGACTACAATGATCATCTAGTTCCAATCCGCCTGCTATGTGAAGGGTCACCAACTACTAGATCAGGCTGCGCAGAGCTACATCCAGCCTGGCCTTGAATGTCTCCAGGGATGGGGCATCCACAACCTCTCTGCGCAACCTGTTCCAGTGTGCCACCAGTCTTTGAAAAAATT